TGACCAAACAAAACAAAAAAAAATTAAAAATGAAAAATTTGTCCGTATGAATAAATTGATTTACCAATTCAATGAAATTCAATAAATAAAAAAATTTTTGAAAAAAAAATTCCACACACACACACAGAGAGAGAGAGAGGTGAACAATTTATTTTCAACGAAATTTTAAATTCACAACCGTTCAGGCCCCAGTATAAATTAATTATTTTAAATTACAGCAACACATCATCATTTATGCACACACACCTGACCATATGAATCCAACGCATCAGCTAATCCGTCATATTACACACACACACACACACACACACACACATGGACACTATGTGAAATCGAATGAAAAGTTTTTTCACACAAAGCGAAAACGAAAAAAAAAAATTTTGACATTGAAATGGAATATTTCATCATTTTCATAATGAAATTTATTTTAACTTCACTTTACTAATTAAAAACATTCAACAATCAAACGATAAAGAGAAAAACAAAAAGACAAAAAAAAACAATGAATGACGATGATGATGATCACGATGACAACAACATCGACAACCATGGTCATCATCATTAAAATAATGATCATCATCATCATTGCAAAGACAAAAACAACAACCAGAAAAAAAATCAAACCAAAAAAATCAAACCTTAACAATGAAATGACAGTCAAAAAAAAAAAAAAAAAAATCCAGAGAACCAATGTAACCACCACCACCACCACCACCACCATCATCATCATCATCAGAAAATGATAATTATTTTCAATTTCAAATATACACGAACGAACAAAGAACAAAAAGGAAAAAAAAACAATTAATATTATTATATACATGTTCAAAAGTATTATTTCTCTCTCTTTTTCTCTCTACATCTATCATGATATTACAATTGAAAAAAAAACGAAGAAATTGTATTCAACAACAACGAAAACATTGAATTGATTAGTAGCCAAAAAAGAATAATAATTAAAGAGAACCAGAGAAAAGACAGAATGTCTTCAAATGTCTAATTTTGATGTTTTACAATTATCATCATGTTGATGATGATGATGATGTGTCTATGTACTATTGACATGTCAATGAAATAAATGTCGAATACGACGACGACTACGATAGCGACGACAAAAAAGACCTTCATCATCATCAATTTTTTCAGTAAAAAAAACATTAAATAGAAAAAAGAGTGGCCATAGCATAGTATGGTTGGTAAGTATAGTGTTAATAATCACATTTAAAACAATTACAATAAAAAAAAAAGCAACAACAACAACAACAACAACAACAGAAATAAAATGACCTAATGAAGAAACAAAAAAAAAAATTCGTGAACAACAACAACAACAACAAGATACAAATAATGAATTGTAATTATAAACCATTGAAATGGCCCATCATCATCATCATCATCATCATCATGGTGGGTAATGGCGATTCGGATTTTTTTTTTCGTCTATAGATAACAAAACGTAAAGTTTACGGTCATTGTCAAAAAAAAATAATACAGTAAGATTTTCATTTCTATGTTTAATTACACAGGCACTTTATTTTTTTCGTTTCTTGATTGCATGGTAGATATACGAATTTTTTTCTTTTTTAATTCATTTCATTACCGGACATTTTCTGGAATTATGCCTGATGATTTTGATGGTCATCAAGTACCTGTTGGTACCATAAAAAAAATTGTGCCCGGTTTTTCATATTTTATTTTTTTTTTCTTTTGAAAATCATCAACATGCTTGACCGATTTGGACTATTACTAATGTTCTTTTTTTTTTGGCGGAGCCAATGCAGTGGGTAAAAGCAATTGAAAAATCATAATCATAATCATAATCATACATATCCATCGAGAATCGGTCAATTGGTTCCAATTAAACGTGGTCATCCAAAAAAAATGGAAAAAATGTTTAATTATTAACAACGACAAAAACCATTTCTTCATTGTGTGTGTGTGTGTTAAAACCAATTTTAAATTGTCTGGCGATGACCACCTTTCAATCTTCGAAAAATGAATTTTTTAATAAAGAAAAAAAATCAGCAACAATCTAGCTAATTTTTCGAAGAAAAATATATGGAAATCTTTATATCTAATCTTGGTTCAGGATCAAATCAGTTTTCATGACGGCAATCTGTGTATGTGAATTATTATTATCATTAAATTAGAAAAAAAAATTCAATCATCCATAAAGATGTAATTTTCATTGAGATATGAGAAAATTGATTTTCGTTTTTCTTTGTAATTTTCAAAATTTTCATCTCTTTTATGAATGAATAAAAGGATTAGCTTGGTTAATTTGTAATATATATCGTGCACACACACACACAGAGAGAGAGAAAGATTTTGATTGAAACTTTAATTTTTAATTAAAAAACAGCAAACCTTACTGTGAATATCTGCGTGAAAATCGAGAAAAATTTGAACAATGAACCATCACCACCACCACCACCAATGATGATGATGATGATCTGGATGGAAATCTATTTGTTTTATTTTCTTGTATTCAAAATAAAAATGGATTCATTACATCCATATATTGTCATGATCAACGATCGATCGATCGATCGAATGATACATGGTGTAGTTCATTGTTTGACCAGGAAAATTTTTTTTCTAATAAAATAAATAAATAACCAAAAAAAGGGTGTAGTTCATTTGAATTAGATCAGAGTAAAAAAATAAAAAAAACTGTCAGAATCATTCAAGTAGTGGGGGCGCTCGCTATGTATTCAAATTTTATTTTTATTTTTGCGCATAAAAAAAAATATAGATTATGATTACCGATTTAGATTTCTTATTTTATTTTCCATTTTAAAGCAATCATCCACAGCAGGAGGCGATACCTACCTATCTACATAACAATATACTTCACACCTGTGTTTGAATTGTCTTTGTGCTGTGCTATGCTCTGCTGTGCTGTGTGTGTATGACCGCGTAAATTCAATCATAAAAAAAAAATTTTTTTTGTTGTTAAAGTGCTAGCAAAAAAAAAAAAAAATCTGATCATAATTTCAATTTTGGAATCAAACAATAACACTAATTTTGTGGCAAAAATCTATCCATGGCAAAGTCATAATCAAATCAAACGCACAATCGCACTGTTTACCAAGGTGTTATATTTATTAATTAACCTTTTTATTTCTTGGTTGGTATAGAAATTTTATATTTGGTCATTTTTGTAGCTAATGGTTCTCTTTTAAATGGCCATGAATTTGAGAAACCATTTGTTCGTGTGACACATTTGACATATTTGCACAGAAAGAAAACTGTGTGTGTGTGTGTGTGTCTTAGTGGTCAATTGATTGACCCTATTTAAAGAGATTTACTGTTTTTTTTTCTTCGTCGTTTTTCCTATTATTATTATTATTACCATCCAATCCAAGCAAACAAAACAAAAACGAATTGAACCTTTGGAATGGCCAAGAAAAGTAAATAATATGAGCAGCAGCAACAGCACATACACCGCAAAGCAACCAGAAAAAAATGTTTGATCAAAATCTTCAGAATTTTCATTTCTTCTTCTCTATTTCGTTATGAATAATAACAGCAAAAAAAAAAAAATTACCAGTTCGGAACAATGATTAATTGACAAACAAGACACACACACACACACACACTGGTGAAAATTGTGGAACTTTGTACTCTCGGAAAAAAAACGACGAAATTTCCTATTTTCAATTTGATTCAAACAAATGAGCCAGAAATGAAATCATGATTGGAAAATTAATTTCCACAATCGACAACACAATTGCATCGTGTATTCACATCATCCAAAGATATCAATGTCACTGAACACACACACACACACAAAGACACAAAACGTTTTGCAATTATCAATTTTTCAACGTTTAACGATAATAAAATCAAACGATATCTTGTCGTCAATGAAATCCAATCAAATTGAATCAATCGAATAAAAGTACACATGTGTGTGTCTCTTGCTCGTTACATTAATTACAACTTAATTAATTTCAATCCAAATGATTTTTTTTTGTTTTTGTTCTCAAAAAAAACAAAAAACAATTGGGTCCTCAATTTTGTCTTTCTCTCTCTCTCTCTGAGTGTATACGAATGTTCCAAATGTTTTCAAGGATTAAAAAGGTGTGTCGCACACACACACACACACACACACACACAGATCACATGATTAGATTTAGACAACAACGAATGAACAAAACAAAAAAAATTTGACAATCGACTATGGAAGCTGGCTATATGTTGTCGCTGTTGTTATTGTTGGCCAATTGAACGAGAGAGAAAAATTCAATTAAAAACTAATTTCATTAGGCATTCATTTTTTTATTTCTGACTGATTGATTGGTTTTAATTTAAATAATTTCCATTTTTGTGCGCGAGAGAGGGAGAGAGAAAATAATTAAACGAAATGAAATGGACAAGAAAGGAAAAAAAGTAATTTGAATTTCAACTTAAAACGCAAACGCACACACACATACACACACACACACTAATTACGTTCAGGATAGGGGCAAACAAAAAAAAAATATGGAAAAAAAGGATCCATAGACAAATGAATTTCCCACCGATTATTTTATGATGATGATGGTGATGATGATGAATGTCAGCTGCTGAAGCATCCAACACATAAACTAATCATAATCATCAATTGCCATTACCACTATTACTATATTATTTACATACAATTCATCGAAACAGCCATTGTTTGTTGGTGGTGGTTGGTTCGATGAGATTTTTTTTGTTGTTGTTGCAATGAAGAAACAAAAAAAAAAACGATTGTGTGCGATGGATCATTGAATCATTATTATTATGGTGAGAATCGTAACAATTGTTCCAAAATCATCAACACACATGCACAAACAAACAATCTGGTTCAATAATGATAATTAATCATATGAACACCAGTTTGGTTTGGTTTGTTTGTGTCCATAATTATTGTTGTCATTATTATTCAAAATAGTTGAAATGTGTGGAAAATGGAACAGATTTGGTTCAAAGAGAGCAAGAAAGAAAAAAAATTATGATGAATATACACCTACCTATTGGATATGGTTGCTGATGATGATCGAATCGGTTGACATGTCTGTATTTTCCGTTGTTTTTTCGTTATGCTGAACACATATTTTATCCATCAGCTAAATAGAAATTAAAATGAGAAAATAAAAGGAAAAAAAATCAATGCCCAATTCAGGTCAAGTTTATCTTTTAATGAAACAATCACCCTTAATAATAATCAATTAGAATTTTAAAAAATAACATGGTTTTTTGTCTGTTTTTCAATTTCAAGAAAGAAAAAAAAATTCTATCGATCGATCAATCGCGATCGATAAACCCAAAAAAAGACAAACAAAACAAAATTTTGTCGGGAGAAAAACAGTCAAAAAAAAAAATACAACAATGATTGAATGATGATAAACGGAACTTGTAATAACAAATATAATGGTAGGATCCATAATGAAATGATGATGATGAGAGAGGAAATCTTATTAAAGTTTTCAAGATTTTTTTTCTCATTTTGTTTGTTTCGTTTCTTTTTCTTGATTTAGACAACCAAATATTATTGCTGCTAATGTTTGTATTTATATATATATAACAATCAATTTGGCGCTATAATTATCACTCGTATAATAATGGATTGCAATTATTATCATTATTATATCTGGATAACATTTCATTTCGGTTTGTCGGACAAGACATTGTTTGTACATGGACATGGACATGGACAACAACAATCACAGAAATTAGCAAGAAAATCATTTAGGAATAAAAGAAAATGGAATCTTTCATCATCAATGATGATGATGATGATAATTGCCCCACATTCTTATTTCATTTCAAATGGATTTTAATGATATGAGATCGATGATCAGCAAAAAATAAAAATCTACTACCTTTTAATGATAAACACAGTGAATGAATTAGGTTCATTTTTTTTTTTTTTTGTTTGATTCAATTTTCTTCTCCCTTTTCTTTCCACTATTTTATAAATGGTTACGTCGGATGACCAATGGATCAAAACTAATCAATTAATTCAATCCGATTCGATTCGATTTGTAATAGCAGAAAAAAAATTTGATAAAATGCAAAAAAACATCATCATCATCATCATTTTGTTTGCAGTTTTCCCCTCTCTCTCCCTCCTTCAAATACTGGATTCAGAAATCAGAAAGATGCAAAGACAAAAAAACAATGAGAAAAAAACAAAAACAAACATCAAGTTGACCAAAAAAAAAAAGAATAAAATTTATTGCCAATAAACAACATTCACATCAATCAATCCACCATCAATTCTCTCATATATATTGATTAATGATTTTACATTTTTCAAACAAAAAAAAAAAAACATTGTTTTTCTTTCATTTTCATTTTGTTTTTTTTTGTTTTGTCAAATTGATTTTACATTGAATGAATGAATGAATGAATGATTGTGACAAATTGAAAACATTGAAACAGAAAAAAAACAAATATCAAACACACACACAAATCATATGTCCAATGATGTGTATCATTATTATTTGAAACGAATCTTTGAATATTTTTTCTTTCTTCTTCTCTATCGTTTGTTCTTTCGTTCGTTTGTTATCGATGGAATCAATTATCTTCACCACGATCACTATATCACCATCACCAACAAACGAAAAAAATTTAAAAAATAAAAGCCAAGCATTACACTTTGAATCTATACCACTTCCATTTAACTATTGAACTAATCAAACTGATGATTATTGAATGCAAAAAAAAACAGAAACAGAAACAGAGAATGAAAATCAATCGACTTTTCTCTTTCTCTTTTATTCTGTTGTATGGCTCACGGTTTTCCATTCTCTATTGCTCTTGTTGTATTTCGGATCCGTCAAGCATATCATCACATCACCAATTGTCGTGAATATTATTATTATTATTATCATCATCATCATTGAAATGAACTGAGAATTTAAACAAAACGAACGAACAAACATCAAATCATCTTTTTAGACAGGTATTATTACCATATAAGACAATCCAAAAATGATTTTGATGATGATGATGATGATGATGAACAATTAAAATTCAATTGATATGCAATGTTAAGTCGTCGTCGTCGTCGTTGTACTCGATTGTTCCACCTTTTTGTTGTTAGAATGTGAAAAGAAAGAAAAAAAAAAAACTAAACATGAATTATATTCACCACCAACTAAGAAGTAATTAAAACAGATAGGTAAAATATTTTCAAAAAAAAAAAAAAAAAAATTACCACAGGTCATCATCATCATCATCAGCCATTGAAGATTATGTGAAATGTGATTGGCGGCTGCTTTTCTTAGCACCAAAAAAAAAAAAAAAAAAAAAATCTTCAACATGACATTCATTCTCATTGGAATTTTTCAACACACAAACACACACACACACATCTTGAACTTGTTATCAATTCAAAGATATGGATTTGTAGAAAGTTTGTGTGTGTCTATGTGGCTGCACAAATACCTAAAAAACAAAACGACATTGTTAACCTAGAAAATCGAAACCTTGACCTATGAAACAACAACAACAACAAACGAAATTGAGAAAAATTCAATATTCATCATTGGTTAGGTGATCGACCATCAACCATCAAACCGATGTAAATAATTAGAACAAATATAAAATGAAATTGAAAATGAATGAATTATTCCATAGTTTCATTGTCATTGTTATTATTGAGAATAATTAGCCCAAACAATCAATAATCAATCAATCAGAAAAAAAACAAAACAAAATGAAATGAAATTGTAGAATTTTCGAAAAAATTTTTTATAAATGCCAAACAGACAAAAAAAACTGAACCTGATTTTCGTTACTACACTACTGCCAACCACCACCACCACCAACACCACCATTGGCGAGCCCAAAATGTCTTGCTGTGTATGATGATGTGCAAGATGTGTGTGTGTGTGTGTGTGTGTGTGTGTGTGCGTTTTAAATTCATTTCTTCATCAAGCAATAATAATAATAATAATAATACACATCTGGTTCTGGTTTTTCTATTTCTTTCGTAACATTTCATTTCAATGACTTTTTTTTGCATTTCATACCAAAAATAAAAATAAAAAATGAAGATCATAATTACAGATACACATAGTAATTAGCGAAATTTTTTCAATTCACATTTCGTTGTTGCCCTGCCAATACCACCACCATTACCACCACCACCATCATCATCATCATCAACATACAATCAGCAATTAAAAAAGATTCTTTTTTTTTGAAAAAATGGCCACATCTGTTCATCTTGTTCATGATGTGATCAAGTTTTGTAATTAAAATTAATTATGACAGTCACACACACACACACACATACAGAGAATTATTAGAAATGAATATATGCAAACCAAACCAAACCTAAAACAAACAGAGGTCAGTCGTTTTCATTTCTAAATCTTTTGTAAAATCTGAATAAGCAAAAAAAAATGATGATGATGATGATGGGCAATAAATATTACATTTTCTGTTTCAATTCAATTCCATTATTATTATCACCATCATCATCATTAAATCATTTTGTGATCATCACACATTTTGATCATTGGAATGTTTTCTCTGTTTCTTCAGCCTGTTTAAAATCATCATCATTAGAAAATATATTTAGATCCATAAGATGATAATGATAACATGGCCAAGCAATAGAATGATTTTTCCACCTAAAGAGATGCGACAAATTCTTGATATTGAAAATAAAAATAAATGAAGACAACTATGTATCAACTGAATCAGTCAATGGAATCGAAATCAAAAAAAAAAAAAAAAAAACAAAACAAAACAAAAAAAAAAAAAAAAAAAAACAAAAAACAAATCTGATTCAAATTCAATGGAAAAAGTAACCATAAAGATACTAAAAATACTACATTACAAATCTAGGCACGTTCCAGGCAGCAATATGAACATTTTTGTGTGTGTGTGTATGTGTGTGGTCAGATCCAAATTGTAAGTGTGTATTGTATTACTTGAATCAAACTGTAATGAAAAATAAATAAAGTCAATGTATACACATACACACACACACAGAAAGAGGAAACAAAAAGAATCAAATAAAGTAACAAAAAAAATGTGTGATTCAATGATGTTTTGGATATATAAAATAACAACAACAAAAAAAAATTGAGAAAAACATACAACCACTATGTCTGTATCACATCATCATCAACATCAACATTTCATCGATAAAATTGAATTTGATTTGTAAAAAAAGCCGATATATCGATGTATCGATCGGCCCCTACAGTATGCGCGCGTGTGTGTGTGTGTGTGTGTGTGTGTGTGTGTGTGTGGATGTTGTATAAACAACAATGATTGTTGGTAATGATACCTGATGATGGACAAAAGAAAACAATGTTTTTTTTTTCTTACTCCATGACCATCATTATCAAAATGATAATAAAAACACAAACACACACACACATCACGAGAGAGAGAGAGAGAATGAACCGAATAAAAAACATGTTCATTTTCATTATTTTTTTTTTTTTAGAAAAATTCATCATCATCATCATCCATCTAATTACTAGTGCCAGTGTGTGTAAATAGTAATTATTATTATTATCATTAATTAGAAGAAAACATGACATTCAATGATCGATGATGATTTGTTATTATTATTGTTATTTCCATTTCATCCAATGTCCTTCATTCAATCAATCAATCGATTGTATGTGTGAAAAAACGCAAATACAATATTTTCATTTATGAATGAGTGAAACTTTTAAATTTAAATTGACAAAAGGTGTTGATAAATTTGAAGAAGAACAACGAAAAAAAAAATCATGTCACATTCGATGATTACACATTATTAAAATGATGATTATAATCGATGATGACAACCAGAAACAAAAATTCAAAACTATCAATGATCAATGATAACCAGGTAGTTATCTAGTAGGAATCTACCGCCATCACATGTCACCATGACAAACTATGAAATGTTGATGATGACCGCGGTGTCTATTTTCACTATTATATTAATCATCACTGTGTGTTTTCAAATTTCATCCACACACACACACACAAAATAAAAATTCAATGACCAATGGATGGTGAATGGTTATGTTGTTGTAACAAAAAAAAAAAAAAAAAGAAGAAAAAAAAAGTTGTAACTTGTAATTAAAAAAAAAACACGAAAACA